CTCATAATCCTATGACGCCCGGGGCGCAAAAAAAAGAGGATAAGACATAAAAATAGCCATGGAGCCAAACAATGAAGTACTTAGGATAATTTGTTATAGTTGTAAGGAGAGTCAAATAATGAAGTTTTTAGGATAATTTGTTCATAGTTATAAGGAGAGAAAAGACACTGAAATAGTCGCTGTTGAGTTATTAAATAAATAAGATTTGAATTTGAATGCGCGGGCGCGCCTTAGTGAACCACGATCGGTCACACCACCGGGCCGAACGGTCACACTACAGAAAGGGATTTTCGGGAACGGGCACACTGGCGGCACCCACCGGGTATATAAGGAGGACCAGTTTCTGGGAAGAGTCACTTGTGCGGTGGATCTCACCCAGGTAAGATCAGCCCTCTCCCGCAGTTGGGCACCCTCACCAGCACTAGTCACTTTTTTGGGTCAGATTTAGCCTCAGGCTAAATCTCATAAATTCGACCTCGGTCATACCGAGGGAGCACTGCCATCGGCCATTCGCCGATGCTTGCCGCAGCAGATCCACGGGATCACTGCCAGGCACTGTCGCAACAGCCTTACCCGGCTTTGCGTCTCTTACGCGTCGGACCTTTGGCGCGTCATCTCTCGCAGGCGTCCCACAGGGTTTTCGCCCTTGTCGGACCTTCAGGGCCTCGCGTCATCTCTCGCAGGAGTCCCACAGGGATTTTTGCGTCTCTTACGCGTCGGACCTTCAGGGCCTCGCGTCATCTCTCGTAAGAGTCCCACAGGGACTTTGCATCTCTTACGCGTCGGACCTTCAGGGCCTCGCGTCATCTCTCGCAAGAGTCCCACAGGGATTTTGCATCTCTTACGCGTCGGACCTCAACGGCCTCGCGTCATCTCTCGTAAGAGTCCCACAGGGACTTTGCATCTCTTACGCGTCGGACCTCAAGGGCCTCGCGGCATCTCTCGCAAGAGTCCCACAGGGACTTTGCAGTTCTTACGCGGCGGACCCCAAAGGGCCTCGCATCATCTCTAGCAACAGCCCTACCGGGGCTTTGCACCACTCACACGTCGGACCCAAAGGGCCTCGTGTCATCTCTCACCCGAGACCCACTGGGTTTCTAGCCATTCTCTTCTCATACTTATCATCACATTCACACTCGCTCGCGTAACCGGCCCTCGGGCCGTCACCCATTCTTTCGTTTCCATTTTTTGTCTCTTCTTTCTTTAGCTAGCGGATCGCCCAGACGGTCAGGCCCGGTTCCCAAACGGCCGCCCCCCTCGGCACCCTACGGAGCATCGGACATCCGACTACCCTCCCTCGGAAGCTCTCCCACCTGGCCCCGCAGACCGCCCGGCGACGACTTGCCGAAACCTTGTAAAATAACTCTGTAACCCTAGAAATGAAATAAACAACTAAGATATAATCTAACTTAACCGAACCAGCTGCGTCCTTACTCTGGGTGGAACCTTCTTTTCTAGCAACCACGCCTGACATCAAACTAAATGTTGGAACGAACTGCTGGTATCCGGTGAACCGTCCCAGGCACCCCGAAGCAGGACCGTTACATGGCGCCCGAACAGGTTGAAGTGGTTGCAGGAAAAAGGACACTAAGAGAGTAATGTCGAGCTGGGTATACCAGGCTACAAAAGCAGAGCTGGTAGAATACGCGAGTGAATTCGGCGTGGACCCAAGCGGAGGATCAAGGGAGCTACGACAAAGACTGTCAACATACACGAAGAGCACGGAGCACACAGAGGAGATCAGGACGAGGTTAATGGAGGTATCAAACAAATACAAGAAGATGGAAATACCGGGTGGAGGGGCCCAGGTCGAGCCGGACAGCAAAAGGACAGCCACGAAAGAGGAGACTCAGAGCATGGGAGACAGGAGGAAGGTGGAATCTCTGGACAGAGTAAGAAGTTGGGGAATACGATACCAGGGCACATCCAACCCACTGGAGTTCCTAGGCAAGATGGAAGAATGGGCCACAGGATATGGCATAGACAAGGATGAATTGGTACAAACGATGCCTTTTATCTTGGAAGGCGCCGCAGAAGACTGGTGGAATACGACGCCAAGTCGGGTAAGAACATGGGAAGAACTGAGAGGGGAACTCCTAGAGTACTTCCTACCCCCAAGGTACCAGGAGCAACTGGATTTAAAAATCGGACAACTCCGGCAGAAAGAAGGGGAACCCACTCGGGCATATGCAATGGAGCTGAGGAAGCTGATGAGGTTCACCAGTTACTCAGAAAAAGAGAAACTGGATAGGATATACAAGAACTGTCGGAGCAAAATAAAGCTTTATGCACGAAGATCAGGTTTTGCATCACTGACAGAGTTCCTGACACTAGCAGAGGAGGTGGAGGAAATCGAGGCGGCGGAAAATCAGGATCACCCGGCAGAGACAAGGAGCCACGGACTAAGGCCGGAGATCTGCATGAGGTGTGGAGGAACAGGACACGCCACAAGGGCGTGCGGCAACCCTCCAAGGTTATTCTGCTGGGTGTGCGGGAGAAACGAGCGGAGGACAACCGAATGTTGTAGAGCCCGGCCGGACGTCAACAGGAGGCTGGAGCAGGCGACTCTGGCAGTACAGGACCGAGCACTAGGACCGGCAGGAAGAGGAGGGATAAACTACGATGGATTCCAGGCAACGGCAGAGGTAAGGATCGGAACGAAAAGGGCGAAGGGAATAGTGGACACCGGGGCATCAAGAAGCGTGATCGACCAGGGAAGTTATCGAAGCCTAAGGAAGCAGGGTAGATGGAACGAGGAAAGGGAGGAAATAACCCTGGCAAACGGAGCAAGACAAAAGGTAATGGGGAGTTTCGCCACGCTCGTCCAGTTCGGGAGCAAGCGATTCAAGCTAAGTTTCTTGATCCTGGACCAAGTGACAGGAGGAATGCTGCTGGGGATGGACTTCTTGGCAAAAGTAGGAACGATAATACGATGCGACCATCAGGAAATAACCATCAGAGAGCCTCAGGAGGAACAAAAACGGAAACAGCGGGAGGAAGCAGGACTAAAAACGGAGCCATCCGAGGAGGAGATCCAGACATTCCTGGAGGAACAAATGATGGTGTTTGAAAGGATGAAGGGATGCAGTACGATCGCAACACACACAATATACATGAAGGACGAAAGACCAGTGAAACAACGTTATTACCCGCGCAACCCAAAACAGCAAGCCATTATAAACGAACAGGTAAACGAACTATTGGACCAGGGGCTGATAGAACCCTCACGAAGCTCATACAGCGCGCCGGTAGTCTTGGTACGAAAGAAAAACAACGAATGGAGAATGTGTGTGGACTACAGGTTACTAAACGAGAAAACGGAGAAAGACGCATACCCGGTACCAAGGATGGATTTCATATTAAACCAACTCCGGGAGGCCAAGTTCATTAGCACAATCGACCTGAAGGCAGGGTATTGGCAAATACCAATGGACGAGGATAGTAAGCAGTACACTGCATTTACGGTACCAGGACGAGGGCTGTTCCAATGGAAGGTGATGCCATTTGGTCTCACCACGGCACCGGCAACGTTCCAAAGAGCCCTGGATACCATCATAGGGCCAGAAATGGAGCCGTTTGCATTCGCATATCTGGATGACATCGTGGTAATTGGAAGGAATAAGCGGGAGCACCTGGAGAAGCTACAGGAGGTGTTTAGGCGGCTCCAAGAAGCGAACCTAAAAATCAACGCGGAAAAATGCCATTTCTTTCAAAAAGAGCTAAGGTATCTGGGACATATCGTAACCGATCAAGGAATACAGACAGACCCGGATAAAGTGGCAGCCATAAGGGAACTACCCACGCCAGGCACAACCAAGGAAGTCCACAGCTTTTTGGGAATGGCGTCATGGTACAGGAAATTCATACCGGGGTTCTCGGAACAGGCAGACCCACTCCAAGAACTAATACAGAAAGGGAGAAAGTTCGACTGGCAACCTCGACATCAGGCAGCATTTGATCAAATAAAGACCAGCTTAACACGGGCACCAGTGTTAGCATGTCCCGATTTCACTAGGCAGTTCGTGTTACAAACGGACGCCAGCGACTTCGGGATAGGGGCAGTGCTGACGCAGGAGAACCCAGAAGGGGAACGAGTGATAGCATATGCGAGCAGAAGGTTGAACCAAGCGGAGCGGAACTACAGTGCCACCGAAAAAGAATGTCTCGCTATATATTGGAGTATCCACAAATACAAGATGTACTTGGAAGGGTACAGGTTCGTAGTGATAACCGACCATCAAGCACTCAGATGGCTGAATTCGATTGAAAGCCCTTCGGGCAGAGTGGCAAGGTGGGCATTAGGCTTGCAACCGTTTCAATTCGAAGTAAGATACCGCAAGGGAAAACTGAACGCCGTAGCAGACGCATTATCTCGCGCGCCACCAGTCGAGGTAAAAATGGCACGAACAGGACCGGGCTGGCTAGAAAAGAAATACAAGGAATGCCAGGAGAACCCGGGAGACGAGGAATATAGGATCGAGGGCGGAAGATTGTACAAACAGGGCTCCAAGAAGGGAGACCTCAACCCCTGGAAGCTGTGCGTCGCGGGAGAAGAGGTACAGGCGGTATTACGAGAGAACCACTGCCAGGAGGCGGCAGGCCACCTAGGGATATTCAAAACACTCAGGAGGGTCACGAAGCAGTATTTCTGGCCGGGTATGAAGAAGGACATCGTAACCTTTGTGAAGACATGCGAAACCTGTCAGCAGTACAAGACGTCGCAACAACACCCAGCAGGACAGATGCTGACAAAGATCGCCGAGGCTCCATGGGAAACCTTATGTGTGGATTTTGTGGGCCCACTACCAAGGACACGACACGGGAATACTATTTTGGTAGTAATCGTAGATAAATTTTCAAAGTGGGTAGAATTAACGGCGGTACGGCAAGCAACGGCGGACACGTTCCTGAAGGTATTCCGGGAAAAGGTGATAGCAAGGATTGGAGCCCCTAAGATCCTGATATCTGACAACGGAGTACAATTCACCGGCAGGAAGACCAAGACAGCTATGGAACACTGGGGAATAAAACAGCAATTCACCGCGCCGTACACACCGCAGCAAAACCCGACCGAGCGCACGAACCGGACAGTGAAAACCATGATAGCGGAATTGACAGGAGGGGAACAAACCAGATGGGACGAAAACCTACCGGAGTTGATGCTCGCGTATAACAGCAGCACTTCGGAGTCAACGGGGCATAGCCCGGCACAATTACTCTATGGAAAAGAGCTGCGGTTGCCCGGGGCACTGTTCGACAAAGTTACGAAAGGCTCCGGTCTGGTATTAGAATCGGTTCCCGAAAGATGGGAACGACTGAAGAATACCAGGTCGGAAGCTTACAGGAATATGGAAGACGCCGCGGAAAATCAGAAACGACACTATGACCTACGGAAAAGGGTATGGAAGCCCAAAATAGGGCAATTAGTGTGGTGCAGAACACACTTCCTATCTAGTGCGATAGATAAGTTTAACGCAAAGTTAGCGCCAAAATTCGACGGGCCATGGGAGGTACGGGGTTTTCCGTCACCGGTAATAGCAGAGTTAAGGAAGCAGGGGGGCACAATTAAAAAACGGGCATACGTGGGGGATTTAAAAGAATACCACAGTAACACTAACCCGGGCGAATCGAACCCCAATAACCGTAGTAACCAAACTTCCGCTCTCATCATTTCAGGAAACATGGACAAATTCCAACACTCAAAAGAGCGGTTCCGGGAGCATAGCGCCCAACTGCAACGGGCCGCCAAGAGGGCCAAAGTAATACCAGCACGGGCCGCCGGACCCGAGATAAGGATCCGGACGGCACCCACACGGCCAGGGGTCCGGCGCAAGGTGGCCGGGGGAAGTCCGGCAAGAGAAGAACACCAGGGCCGAAGCACGACCGACGACGAGGCGCCGGCAGGAGGAGTCGAAAGGGCGGCAGGCCCCGACGATCACACCGACGTGACAAGAGACAACTCCCCGGACCGAGACGTACTACAGTGTTGCGTCTCGGAAGGTTCGGGGGGGGAAACCACCGCTTATCCCTCCTCTTCTTCGCTCCACGAAGAAGAAACAATAATAAATAACTGGGGGTGGACGGTCCCAGCAGGGGTCGTCCTCCGGCCAGCAACGGTGGAACAAATTCTAGACAGATGGAGAAGGAAGCCCAGGGGCAAACAACAGAGCCTGCTGGTGCCGGAAGGGGCACGAACGTGGAATGTGCTCTTCGGCAGAGGCCGAAGAGTCACTGTCCGGCAGGCGAACCGAAGGCAGCCGGAGGAGGCCCGTCGACAGGACACCACTGGAGGGCAGCGACGTGGGGACGATATGAGCGGCGTCGAATGGCAGATCCAGGCGGGAGTCCACCTGCTCCCAACCACCCAGGCCCACATCCGGGAGCGTTGGGCCGGGTTGCGGTTTGGACAGCACCGCAGCGTCCTGGTGCCCAATGGGGATGTCACCCTCCAGGTCATCTTCGGGCGAGGCCGCCGCATCATGATCCGGCCCCACACGCCAGCCGCCCATAAAAACGGGGGGTGGTATGACGCCCGGGGCGCATAAAAAAGAGGATAAGATATAAAAATAGCCATGGAGCCAAACAATGAAGTACTTAGGATAATTTGTTATAGTTGTAAGGAGAGTCAAATAATGAAGTACTTAGGATAATTTGTTATAGTTGTAAGGAGAGTCAAATAATGAAGTTTTTTTGGATAATTTGTTCATAGTTATAAGGAGAGAAAAGACACTGAAATAGTCGCTGTTGAGTTATTAAATAAATAAGATTTGAATTTGAATGCGCGGGCGCGCCTTAGTGAACCACGATCGGTCACACCACCGGGCCGAACGGTCACACTACAGAAAGGGATTTTCGGGAACGGGCACACTGGCGGCACCCACCGGGTATATAAGGAGGACCAGTTTCTGGGAAGAGTCACTTGTGCGGTGGATCTCACCCAGGTAAGATCAGCCCTCTCCCGCAGTTGGGCACCCTCACCAGCACTAGTCACTTTTTGGGTCAGATTTAGCCTCAGGCTAAATCTCATAAATTCGACCTCGGTCATACCGAGGGAGCACTGCCATCGGCCATTCGCCGATGCTTGCCGCAGCAGATCCACGGGATCACTGCCAGGCACTGTCGCAACAGCCTTACCCGGCTTTGCGTCTCTTACGCGTCGGACCTTCAGGGCCTCGCGTCATCTCTCGCAGGAGTCCCACAGGGATTTTGCGTCTCTTACGCGTCGGACCTTCAGGGCCTCGCGTCATCTCTCGCAGGAGTCCCACAGGGATTTTGCGTCTCTTACGCGTCGGACCTTCAGGGCCTCGCGTCATCTCTCGCAAGAGTCCCACAGGGATCTTTTGCATCTCTTACGCGTCGGACCTTCAGGGCCTCGCGTCATCTCTCGCAAGAGTCCCACAGGGATTTTGCATCTCTTACGCGTCGGACCTCAACGGCCTCGCGTCATCTCTCGTAAGAGTCCCACAGGGACTTTGCATCTCTTACGCGTCGGACCTCAAGGGCCTCGCGGCATCTCTCGCAAGAGTCCCACAGGGACTTTGCAGTTCTTACGCGACGGACCCCAAGGGCCTCGCATCATCTCTAGCAACAGCCCTACCGGGGCTTTGCATCACTCACACGTCGGACCCAAAGGGCCTCGTGTCATCTCTCACCCGAGACCCACTGGGTTTCTAGTCATTCTTTTATCATACCGATTCCATAATCTTTTCCTCATCACATTCACACTCGCTCGCGTAACCGGCCCTCGGGCCGTCACCCATTCTTTCGTTTCCATTTTTTGTCTCTTCTTTCTTTAGCTAGCGGATCGCCCAGACGGTCAGGCCCTGTTCCCAAACGGCCGCCCCCTCGGCACCCTACGGAGCATCGGACATCCGACTACCCTCCCTCGGAAGCTCTCCCTCCTGGCCCCGCAGACCGCCCGGCGACGACTTGCCGAAACCTTGTAAAATAACTCTGTAACCCTAGAAATGAAATAAACAACTAAGATATAATCTAACTTAACCGAACCAGCTGCGTCCTTACTCTGGGTGGAACCTTCTTTTCTAGCAACCACGCCTGACATCAAACTAAATGTTGGAACGAACTGCTGGTATCCGGTGAACCGTCCCAGGCACCCCGAAGCAGGACCGTTACAAT